GGGGGGGGGCTCGCTGCGTTTCTCAGCATCCTTGGCTTGCGACCAACTCGAAGACAAAGCAGCGCCATTTTGGCCCGCTCTCTGGCGGCCGGGCCGTACGAAGGTCGGGATGGTACTGAAAGCTGGTGGCGCGCCACTTACAAAATGAGGCCGAACATGTTCAGATTGACATCGGGTGACGAAGCCGCAGGAGGCGCCGGCGATGCAACGAAGGTGGGAGGAACCTGAAAGGACATAGACAGGACAATCAACCCGTATTCGCATGTCTCTGTTCGTCATCACCCGAGTGTCCTGATTTGCCGCCTATTCCCTCATCTGCCCTTATCTCTCTCTCTTGGAAGTAGCCGCGTGATGGCCAGCCCTCCTGAAGTGCTTTGGTGGGTCTTGGACATAGCTGTGTCTCGCTGTTTGCGCGCGCGATAGACTTGTCCCAAAAGGTCGGGCTCAGTGTGTAGCCGCCGGCATAATACGTGGTTCCGGGGTCAAGGGGGAGCCCAACTTGTGCGTGTGCTGGTGTGTTCTTCCTGGGACCGGCAGGGCTTCTTGTTCAGCCAGATCGCCCTTTTCCAATCCCTCCACCGATGAAATCAAAACGACTACTCATAGGGCCCCCGCCACCCACCCCAGCAGCAGAAGATGGCCACAGACGAAGAAGTCAGCTCTTTACAATTCCCACCAGGATAGCCATCATTGGGCGTTGCCAGCGACAGAACAAGCACTTGCAGATCAGATGACGCTCCCGACGCGCCGTCACCACGCTGCTGCTGCTTCTTGGAAAAATGTCATCTTCGAATGCATCAGAGTGGTGGGCTGCCGGTTGGTTGACGGGCGAAGATAATTACAGGGCCGCGCGAGTGGGTTCTGAGCAACAACACAGAGAGACACACTGTCAAGCAGACAAACACAGCGATACATACACGAGCCTCGAACACTGCTCGACGAGTGGTCACATTGTTTGTCTTCTAAGACCTGAGTCAGAATGGAAACCACGCGATGTTGACATCCCGTCTCGAGAAGTCGAAGCCAGGGTGGACAGCGACGGTGGCGACGCTGGTGATGCTCAGATAGATGGAAAGGCAGACGAGGAATGTCCAGCATTGCCCAACGGCCCACACAAAGCTGGGCACGGCGAAGGGCAGGACGGCCACCATGCTGGCTGCTTCAATCAACATAGCGAATCCAGTGGGTCCGTGAGAGGTGGGAAAGGTGCGGGTTGCGCCGGACGGTTTCGTTGTAGAAGTTAACGCCGTACTCGATGAGGCCGAAGAAGCAGTAGACCACGAAACACATGCCCACGAAAGAGGCGAACTCCATTGCGCATGCGACAGCGAGCTTGCAAGCCCCCTCCGGCCCCCAGTCTCCCCCAAGATGGGTCTGTTTTCGCTTTCCGTCGGCGTCTGCGTCTTCTTCTACTTTGCCGTCGTATCAGCCGAGTACGTCTACCGTTACCTCCATATCATCAGCCAAGTTGAGCTGCCCTTGCCCTGACGCCCAATAATATGGGCCTGTTTGCGATTCCGTTCGTGGTGCCCAGCTTTGTGTGGGCTGTGGGGTACATCTGGATGGCCTTTGGTTCGTGGGAGTCGCCTCTTGCTACGTTTCCTTGGCGTTTTACGACGGCATAAGGGATCTGCCCATCGTCTACGAGTTCAGGCCCATTGCGTGAGCAAGGAATGCAGATGTGGACAGACAAGCAAGGTGAGAGAGTGACACACCGAGCGAGTCAGATGCTCATGTGTCTCCCCCCTGTGTGTCTGGCTTTGTGTGTACTAGTTATGGTGGTTTTAGCCGCGACGCGGCGTGAGTGTGTCATCATCGACTCAACTGATGGCGTATTGTTGCTCACTCCCCCACAGCCGCTTCTCTGTCCATTGCCGCACAAGATACGGCGCCCTACATCGCCTGAGTGAGGCCTGATCACACAAATAATGCGAGAGACTGCCAAAACGAAGTGCCAGTGTTGTGTCTCTGCATGGCTGTGTGTGCCACTTGTTGTGTCTCTGGATGGCTGTGTGTAGCTCTCCTGTGCAGCCTTCCCGTCGACGCATAACGACTTGAGCGCGCCGGCGGCAGCGTTGTCAGCTTATCTTCCTACCCTTGGCTATCACCCGAGATGCAATATTGTTGTAATCTTCGCTGCTGGTGCCGACTGCTGCGCCCTCACCCGCTGCGCCATAGCCGCGTCCAACGAGCAAGGGTCGCTAATCTCGCCCGCCCCGGTGGCTCTCGCCCTTGGGTGGCGGGCGTCTTGTCTCGCCCTTGTGTGGCTCGAGGATCGATCCAGCCACCTCTGTGGAACACGATATCTCCTTTACCAGCCGCCCGTATTCAAGCCCATGACCGACACACCTCACGGCCGGGCGGACGCGGAGAAGCTGGACCCGCGGCCTCTACCAGGCAGCCCTGCGTGGGGCAATGTGGACACAACACTCGCCAACGACCCCTTCTTCCAGAACGTCAACTTCACTGGTCTGTTTCATTAGTCTTGGATACAGCAAGGCCTTGGCCGACACACTCCCTGCTTCGTGTGTGTGTGCAGGTGCGTTTGGTGATGATTTGTGGCTGTTAGGCTGGACATGGTGGGACTATCGCGGCAAACTCCCCGGTACTGAGGCTAGATCGTTCTTCGCGGCCCCCGACACCGGCAGTGCCCTCATGGCACATCGAAGCCCTCTTCTGGTCGCAGCCGTGTGTGGCGTGATGTTCGTTGGGCGGTTTTGGTGATGACTCTCTGGCTTGTAGAGTAGGCTGTGTGTGTCATTGACTGTGCATGAGGCTCTGTGTGCTCATCAAGTGCGCTTCAAGGTCATCGATGACCTCAAGCTATAGCTAAGGCATGTCTGCCAGCCATGCAGAGAGCGGGGTGTGGGTATGTCAGTTAGGTCGGTCAGGGGTTCAGGGTGGGAAAGATAGAAGTCCTCAGATTTGGCCTCCCTACCAGTCAGTCATGTGGCCTCTTTGTCTGTGTGAATGGTGCTTCCCTAACGCTGCTGTAGATGGAACAGTGAGTGGCATGTGCTTCATGCCTTCACGCTGACCTATGACGGGCCTCGTGCAGTGTCGTGGGAGTTGGGTGACTCGGTTGAAAGTGTCCATTGATCGTTCATTGGTCAATGAATGAATGAGAAGTTCTCCATCCCAGCAACAGCCACTCAAAAACAGCCCTTACACATCATCGGCCAGCACACGAGTGCTCAGAAAGCCCAACCCTCGATGCATTGCATTCACGAGGACAGCCAGCACACATTCCCCCATCGCCGCCAGGTCATCACTGCGCAGCTTCCTTCTCAGCGGCCGCACCGATCAGCCTGCCCGGATCATCCCTGGGCGTGTCCATGTGCCTCTCATAGAGGATGGTGTAGAGCTGCGCAATCTTCCTCTTGACGTGCTTGAGCTGGTGCGGCTTCCACTCCTTGTTGCGGCCCGTCTGCTTGAACCGCACCATCGCCGCCTCCTTCTGCGCCGTCACGAGTGCCTGCTCCAGCTCGGGAGTCGACATCTTCCGCAGCTCCGATGCCTTCTCGAACTTCATGCTCCATCGGGCGCGAGGCTGCTGCAGAGTCCGCAGTGGCCGTGCTGGCGCGTCAAAGTGGCGGGAAGAGGGGGAGAGGGCGAATGCGGGGAGGGAGGGGAGGGATGGGGAAGGTGAGGCCTCGAGGGGCACGGTGAGGCACCCGATGAGGACGCCGAGGCTCTCCAGCAGCAGCTTCATTCTCAGACTACGAGATCTCAGCGTTGTTCACGAGGCTTTCGTCAGATCTCAACGCAGGCAGCAGAGGTCTGCACGAAAGGCGCCAGATCTCGCTTTCCTCGCCTTTCCCGATCCGTTCCAAGCTCGCAAAGAGGCTTTTGCGACTCCGGGCGCGGTGACGTGTGAAGAGGAGGAGCTGGACTTCAACCGCAGAAGAAAAGCAGAGGAAACGCGAGGAAACACCTTCAGCACGCTCGTGGTTCATCATCTCCCTTGCCGCAACTTCTGTCCGCTTTCAGCCATCTGCCAGCCTGCCTGCTGCCCTTGGCTTCGCTGCCCGATGCGCGTCGTCAGCTCTCTGTGAAGCCCTTCATCCCATCCCGTGCGGCCATCCGTCCGTCCCTTTATGATGGGCGCCAAGGCCTGCAAGAAGCGCACGGCCGATGACGCCAGAGAGCACAGCACAGCCAAGAAGGCGTCACGGCAGGTGGATGCGGCGGTTAACCGCAACGGCGTGCTGAAGCCGCATGACCCGGTCATCCAGGAGGTGGAGGTGCAGCCAAACGGGGAGGCGGAGGGGCCGATGGACGATGGGAGGCGGGGCTCCAAGGACAGCTCCCGATGGTCCTCCTCCGGCGGCGGCGGGTCGGGGCGTGGCGCGCGTGCCACGAAGCTGACGAATGACAACTCGGTGTTGCCTGTCTTCAAGGACCGAGATGGTGGGTGAATGGACTTGAAAGGGGAGATCTGGTGGACACACAGCGTTGTTTGCTTGTTTGTTGTGCGTGCTGTGTGTGTGTGGTGTGTGTGTGTCAGGTGACGAGGCGCATGAGTTTTGGGAGGAGACGGCGGACGGGAAGCTGGTACAGATCCCGTCGGCGCAGCTGAAACGGTGTAGATGACCGACGGACGGCTGCAGTGCATTGCAATGAAATCGTCCACTGACTGACCGACTTGACTGAAATTGCGTGTTGCGCTGTGGGGTGAGGGAGGGTGGGGGTGCTGGGAAGTGTGTGGATGGAAAGGTCTTGGTGAGCGTTTGCTGATTTGGCGCGGCTGACTTTGATGTTTGCGGCTGACTGCAGTGACAGCGGTCTGCCGAGGTCATCGGAGGCGGGCGCGGCAATGTCAGCAAATGCCACTCAGGTGAGGGTGTGTGGTGTGGTGATGTGTGGAGGTGGTGTGGCTACTACTGCTGCGTGTATCCATCGACAGACCACAGTGCCCGTTTTTGTGGTGTGCATGACACTGACTGACTTTCCTCCCCTGACTGTCCCGTCAGTCACTTAATTACTCACCCACTGCACGTGCATGTCATGTCAATCGTCCCCCCCAATCCCACGCCACCCCACCGCTCACTCAGTCGGTCGAGCGCGTGCACACATGCAATGCACCAACCACCGCCCCCCCTCCCCCTCCCCTAAGATACACGCGAAAAAGGCAAGAGCACACCGCAGCCTCGGCGTCCCGTATGCACTCTCCGCAAGCAAGTGGGCACGAAAAATTCATCTATCTAGATCGTTCATCGATGGCGGTGTGTCAGTTGTGTGTCCAGCCGGCAACCCGTGTGCACGAGGCATCTGCCTGCCTGCCTGCCTGCCGGGGAGGCTCATTTCGCCTCGGCTGAACACCACAACCGACAGCTACATGGTTGTGTGTGTATCCCTGTGGCTGTGAATGTATGTGTGTGTGTGTGTGTGGGTGAATGGAACCGAACCGCATGCTACGCTATCAGAACACCACAGAATCCAATCCAATCCATGCACATTGCACATTGAAACTAACACTACCAACTTAACCCCCCCTGTGGGCATTTCCGTCCGTCAGTATGTCACGTATGTGGTCGCATCAGGAGATTGATGTCCTAGCGGGGGACGGACAATGGCCGACGGGCGCTCCCCTGACAGACAGAGACCACAACCCACACAGTGCCGCAATCCAGACGCGTGCAGGGACTCTCATCCCTTTGTGGCGAGCAGTGCTCACCTCGTCTGGTGCCTGGCAGTCTCCAGTGGTCACTTTGCGTCATTGTGGATTGGACACAAAGACTTCGTACTGCAGGAAGATAACCACGTCCTCCCAAATCTTCAGGAAGGCGCGATTGAGGATGATCGCCCGCCCCTTCTCGTCCACACCCACAATCCTCGCCTCGTCGATGATGTCCTTGAGGATGGGGGGGTTGTCGAGGGGATACTTCAGTCTGCCCCACGGCGAGGCGAGGTCGGGGCAGTCCTCCTTGGAGATGCTGAAGTCGTAGACATACGAAGGCTTGTCATCCAGGCTTTAGGGGGGCCACCACCATAATACACATACGACACCAGCCACACAACAGAGGTGAGGATGGATAGTATATGTAGTGTAGGTAGGGGGGTGGGGCGGATGACGTACCGGTGCTTCTCGTGGGGGAACTGCCCAGTCGTCACGCGGGCGGTGAACAGAGTCACCTGGCTCTTGAACAGCTGCACACACACACACACAGAGCACAGCATGTCGGTCGCCATGCATTGCCCTTCTCTCCGCTCACCTTTCCGCCATCGAATGGGTTGAGCAGCGGGAAGTAGAACCACAAGTCTTCGCCCTTGCAGCTAGTTTTCTGGAACAATGCACCTTCGAAGACGAGGCCAAACAGCCCCCTATAGATGTCCTCGGCCGGCTCGTGCAGGATCGAATTAAGAATCCCTCCCCAGTGCGGGCCCAACAAAGGCTCTTCCTCGATGCACCCCTTGGTGAAGATTTCGTCCAGCTGCTTAATGGACAGCTTCTTGAGGTCAGACATCTCGAGCACCGGCAGGTCGTCTCGGTTGAGGCACCCGCCGCTGACATGGGCGACAGGGGAGAGGGCCAGCAGAAGCAGAGGCCAGAGGGGGAGTGAGAAATGTCCGCGCGCCATCTTTGCTTCTTCGTTTTCGCCGTTGCGTTGCGGTCACCGAGAATTTACCGAGTTTACACAGCGTTGCGGCGTACGGGAGCGATTCTATCGACGACCACGGTCCGTCTGTAGTTTTATCGGTGCAAGCAACCAAGATGAAGGCGACAGCGATTCTGGCGTCCCTCCTGCTGCTCGCCCCCTGCCTGGCGGCTCCGGAGGAACCACGAGCACAGTCAGAGGACGGCATCGAACCCGACGAACTCGACAAGGTACGTGCTCACGGAAGACACCACCGTCGATATGACGACGTGTGTGTATGTGTGTATGTGTGGTGGTCCCTCCATAGTTTTCGGTGGAAGAGCTGTACGAGCTGTTCAAAGGCGGCTCGGCCACCCACTTCCCGCAGGGCATGGTGCGCGGAAGGGTCATCAAGAACCTGCCAGACATCGAGGCCTACTACGAGCGCAAGGAGGGCGAGGGCCAGATGGCGCGCCTCGAGAGAAGGATGAAGGAGGAGGGCGAGGACGGGCCCTTGGTGTCGGCCATCCGTGAGAGGTTTGCCAACATGACAGTGTCGAAGGAGCTCCTGGACATGGTGCCTGAAGGGCAAAAGGCCATTCAGCAGGCGCTGCTGGGAGAGAGTGAGGGGGGGGACTTCCTGGACCACATTTTCTTCTCTGAGCATCCCCTGAGCATCGAGTCGCTGGTGAAGCTGGGGCTGGGGAGCATTGAGCGCTTCCTTCAATTCATTGAGGAGGGCGTCTGGGCGGGTAAACTTTTCATGGAGACCGTGTGCAAGGGAGAGAAATTCGTCTGGTGAGGGGGGAGGAGAGGGACACGACACGCAGAGTCACATCAATCACGACTGACTCATGTCATGTGTCTGTGTCTGCAGGTATCAGAACATGTGGTGAGCAGACGCACGCACACACACAAAGGAACGAAACACAGGCGTACGGGCAAGAGTGGGTGGCCTCGTCTGTGTGTGTGTGTGCGCAGGGATCCCCAGCACTTCTTCCTGCAGCCCTTTGCCAAGTGGCTGCTGCCGCAGATCCCCGGCATCCCCGGCTACGTGTGGAAGGGCCAGTTCCCTAACGAGAAAGCGCGCGTCGACAACAAGGAAAGCATCATCGCGTCTTACAACATCAAACCCGAAATGTGCCCTGGTGAGTCAGTTTGTCAGTCGGTCGGCTTATGTCGCAACAAAACAGTACAGCACAACACAGCACATCGCCATCTGTCGTCCGTCCGTCCACAGGTCCGACTAAGAACATGAAGATCGTGTCAATGATAACGCCTTTCCCTTTCAATCTGATCATGGACGAGATGCGCGAGATCCCACAGGTAGGTCCCACAGGTGAAGGTTGGTTCAGAGGTACCTCCACCCCCTCTCACTCACTCTGTCTCCGTGCGCGACTGTCTTCTTATGCGCAGTACAAGCCTGGCACCTTCCTGGCTACGTTCTACCTGAGCCTGGGCGACAAGGTCGACGACTGGCCGCTGCTCATGATCTACGCCCTCGAGCAGCAGTACAAGACCACCGCCAGCAGAGACAAAGGGGATGATGGTGAGGATGGCGGGTCGCGCCGCTCTCTGCGGGCCATGTAGAGAGAGGAGAGGCCTTGGCCGCAAGGCCTTCCTTCTAGCTGGGGCTAGTCAGGGCGTGGACTTGTTCTTGTCTCTCTAGTCTATCTCTCTTGTCTATCTCTCTTGTCTGTCTGCCTGTGGACACGCTGCTTCAGAAGCTGGCACCATTGTCGAGGTTGCCCAGGACACGCCTGAGCTGAGCACTCTGGTCGCCGCCCTTGAGGCAGCTGGCCTCGTGGAGACCCTTCAGGGCGAGGGCCCATTCACCGTCTTCGCACCCACCAATGACGTGAGATGCACTGTCCTCTCTGTCCTGACTGCACCGTTTATCACTGCAGCTAGCCATGTGTGTTGCGTCTCCTGTCTCTAGGCCTTTGACGCTCTGCCGGAGGGGGTTTTAGAGGACCTCCTCAAGCCCGAAAACAAGGATACGCTGACGGAGATCCTCACGTACCATGTCGTGAGTGGCGCGGTTAAAGCGTCGGATCTCGAAGACGGGCAAGATGTGGAGACCGTCCAGGGCGAGGATGTGCAGGTGACGGTCCGTGACGACGAGGGGAAGTCTAAACATCCTCGCCGGACAATCATGGTGAACCAGGCAACGGTTGTGCTCGAAGACGTGAGCAATCAATACGCCACACCACACACCTCAGAGAGAGACAGGCGGGCCTGAAACAGTCAGTCATTTGTGTGGGTTCTCCCTCCCTCCCTTGGTGTTGTCAGGTCATGGCCAGTAACGGCGTCGTCCACGTCATTGATGCAGTGCTCCTACCTCCCTCTGGTGTGGACACCGATGACGACACAGACGACGATACGACAGACGACGATACGACAGACGACGATACGACAGACGACGATACGACAGATGACGACACGATGGATGATGACGCGGGCGATGACGCGGGCGATGACATGGCAGAGGTCCTGGAGGATATCGACGAGGCCCTCAGGGCAGTGTCGGGCGGCGACCTGGGTGACGTTGAGTTATAAACGGGCGCGTGAGCGGCAGACAGGGGAGGGAATGAATGCACATGGGGCCCTCCATAGTGGGCGATGGGCTGACTAAAGGGCCTCCTGTCTGTCTGTCTGTCTGTCTGTCTGTCCGTGTCTTTGGCTGACTGAAGAGCCGCCAAGAGTGTGGCTGGTCGCTGCGTTTTTCTTCCCACAATACACACACAGACACATCCACTGGTGTCTCTGCGCACACCGTTGCGTCTCCATACCAAATTTTTTCTAAGGAACCAACGCAGCGTCCGTCGCGCCTCTCTCCGTCTGTCCGTCTGTCTGTCTGACTGACTGATACTTCTCTGCCTCCACTCACTGTTCTGTTGCCCGATCCATGTGAGCAATGTGCGAGTTAGTGGGAGTGTGACCATGCACCATGTGCAGCTAGCTGGCTTGTGCCTGTGGGTCGTGCTTTGTTCGCGAAAAACGGGTGACGAAGCACGACCCACACACACAGTCGCTTAGCTTAGTGGGCGGGGAGCGGGGGAGGGAGGGATGGGGGAGGGGGAGGGAGGGGGCAGGGGCGACTTGCTTTGTTGTCCCGCGTGCACCAATTGAGTCATGTTATTTGTGCGAGCGACGCGAGTGAGGAGAGGATGCAGTTAATGCATGATAATGCAGGATACCATGTCCGTTCCATGGGTGTGTTGTGTGCATGAGACGCGATGTCTTTCCTTCCAATTACAATACCTCCTTCATTGTCGTGCAGCAAGTAGGGTCCGCTCTATACATCATCCACATCATGTACACACACGCATACACACAAGACAACCTGGTTTTCACCGACTGGAGCAAGCCGCGTGTTGGCGCCTGCAGACGGCCGTTAAGGGCTGTCAGCTGGCACCATCACGCCACATGTCTCAGCCGGAAAACCCCAGGTCGACCAGAGCATCGATGTTTCGATTTAAATGCCCCACCCGCAGTGACGGCCACACAGAACGTTGATGCGTCCGCTAGATCAATAAACTTCGGGGCAGCAGCAAGGCAGAAAAGGGGAGGGAAACGCAGGTCCCTTTGCATTGTAAATGCAGCCAACGACGGAAAAAGAGCGAGGAGCTGTGATGTAGATTAGATGGGGAGGCAAAAACGCCGCCGCCCCGCCGTATCCGTTTCCCCCTTCTAAGTTGTACTACAAGAGCCCCCCTCCCTCCCTGTTCCTCCCTCTCTCCGTCCTTCCCTTTCCTTTCCACCTATACAAGAACGATCGGTCACCGGCCAACAAATGAGCGTATGCACACCTGTCCCCTCCCTCCCTCCCTCCCTCCCCTGCTCAAATGAACATCCAATCCACCCATGCCTCTCGCTTCCCCACACCGCCCATCATACCATCATACCATCAAATGAGGCTGTCAGGCGTGTTCTCGTCCCCCTCGACGCTTGTGCTCTTGAGCTCTATCACCTTGATGTTACTCTTGTTGTTGTGGGGGGACGGCGTCCCGCCCTCGCTCTTGACGCCTCCACGCACACCCCTCGGGCCATGGCCAGCACCAGCTGCTGGTGAAAGCTCCTCTGGAGACGTGGCTGCTGACGAGCTGGTCGAGTGGGCCGACGCCATCTCCACCACACTCGACGACTCATGACCCTCAGACCTGCACACACACGGATGCTTTCTCTGTGTGTGGTGTGTGTTGGTGGGGAAGGATCAGCCGCACGTGTGTCGCAGGAATTGGTAGGAGGTGTGTCCCCCTCGTGGTGTGGGCGTGAGGTCCTTCATGCGGCCCACCAGCCGCTGCACCTGACGCACAGTCAGACTCACGCCGTCATAAGCCCGGCCCAGTGGCGAGCCGGGCGGCGTCAGGGGCGTGGGCGACAACACCACCTTGCTGAACCGCCTGCCACACAACACAACACAACACAACACACACATAGAGAAGGGCCAAATGCCAACAACACCGATGTCATCTGTGTGTGTGGGTGCGTGCCTGAGCATGAGGGACGAGGCGACCACTAGGACGGAGCTCATGGCCATGAGGGTGCCAGCGACTGCTGGGGGGATGGTCACGTGCGGGTAGAAGACGCCTGCGGCCGTGGGGACGCCCAACACGTTGAACACAAACGCCCAGAAAAAGTTGCTGCAACCAGCCAACCAGCCCGTCAACGAACACACTCATGCATGTGCTGTTTGCTGAGTGGTCTGGTTGGTTTGGTGTCTGACCGTCGGATGGTCCAGATGGTCTGTTTGGAGAGCTTGAAAAACGATGCCAGGTCGCTCAAGCTGACGGACACCGAGAGGGAACAAGCTAATGCTGTGCACAACCAGAGGCGAATCCTCCCCCCTCAGCGCTGCGCTCACTCAGATCCCATGAGGACAACGTCGGCCGCATTGACGGTGACATGAGCGCCCACACCGATGGCTATGCCCAGGTCAGCCTGTGCCAGAGCGGGGGAGTCGTTGACACCATCGCCCACCATCCCGACATAGCGACCTGCATGAGCAATTGGATGTGCAACGGAGAGGCCTGTGTGTGTGTGGTGGGTTGGGGAGGGGGCTACCTGTGTGCTGGTGTTCGTTCTTGAGCTTGTGCAGGAGCTGGACTTTGTCGTTCGGCATGGCCTCGGCCACCACACGGGACTGCACGATGCCCGCCTTGTCAGCCACCACCTGCACACACACACAGAGAGAGAGAGGGGCGTGTTGCTCGACTATGTGGTGCGTATGTGTGGTTCCCGACCCGTGCTGTCTTGGCGTTGTCCCCCGTGCACATCCACACGTCGATGTCGTAATGGTGCTGAGCGACACACAGCACACACACACACACACATCCATCCATCCATGTGTTGGTGTCTGTCTCTTTCTGAGTGTTATGACAACCACCCCGCACCGATCCGTGTACCTTGAGACTGCGTATGAGCTGCTTGACGTTGGGTTTGAGGTTGTCGCGCAAGGCCACCGCACCCAAACAGATGCCCTCGACGTGCACGACAATCACGGTGCTGCCCTCCTCCTGCTCGCTGTCCACCCATCCCTTCAAGGCCGCCTGGCCTGCACGAGTGGCGCCGGGCTGGTGTGTGTAAGCTGAAGACCCTTTCAGGCTCCTGCGGACACACAGGGGGAGAGAGATTATAGCGAGGGGTGAGTGGTGTGGGTGGGAAGGTGGCTGACGGACTTTGCGAACTTCATGTCTTCGTAGAGCACCCAGCTGCCGGCCCCCACCTGACGCCCCTCCAACACGCACACCAAACCTCTACCTGCACACACACTCACACACACACACACACACACAGACACACAGATGGAGACCTTACACACGCGCCACACAATACCCCCCAGCCATTCTTCCATACCAGGGAGGTTCTCAAAGTCGCTGGGCGTGGCGAGGAGCGGCGCGTCAGTCATGGTCTTGCAGTAGGTGTGCAGACACCGCCCCAAAGGATGCTCGCTCGACGACTCGATCGACCCCACTATCCACCAAAACGCGTGCGCCATGCTGTGGGCCCCGTCACGATGATGATGACTGTTGTGCTGGTGCTGATTGTGGTGGGCGTGATGGTGGTGGTGCTGGGGGGTGGGGGAGAGTGTGGGCGAAGAGGGCGGCTCTAGCCACGTGACACGGCTTGTCGGTGTCTGCAAGATGACATAGAGAGAGGAATGATCTGTCTGTGTGTATGTGTTGGCGGAGGGTGGAGAGGGTGGGCTGGCTGGTCATTTACCTCTGTTCTGATGAATGGGTTGGGTGTGTTCGGTGTAGGTGTAGGTGTGGGTGTGGCTTTGTGTCCGCCGGTGCTGTCCTCCCTCTCACACCGGCGCAGCAGCCCGGCCCATGACGAGCTCAGCGCACGCACCGCAGACGGCAGGATCGCCGCACCCACCACCTGTTAAAAACACACACAAGCTCGTCTGTGCGTCTGAGTGTATTGTGGGTGGGAGCGAGGGGCGAGGAGGGAGGGGGGAGGGGGAAATCACCTGCGGCCGTCCCTGTGTGATGGTGCCCGTCTTATCAAGCACCAGAGCCTTGACGCGCGCGCCCACCTCCAATGGCAGGGAGCCCTGCAAGCAGCCCAGCCCAGCCCACCCACCACACGGATGTGCAGCTCAGCTGGTAGGTAGGAGTGTGGCCAGCTGGTGTGGTGGGTCATGTGCACCTGCCTCACCTTGACGAGCAGTCCGCATTTGGCTGCCATGCCCGTGGCCACCATGACGGCTGTGGGTGTGGCCAAACCCAACGCACACGGACACGCTGCGCGACACGACACGACACAACACAACACAACACAGGTGTGGATAAGAGAGAGAGAGAGAGAGAGAGGGAGAGAGAGAGAGGAGGAGAGAGAGAGGGAGTTGGAGGGAGGGGTTACAGACCGATTGCGAGGACGGCAATTCCGAATCTCATGGCGAACATGAACTTGACTGAGAGGGGGTGCGCCTCGTGTGCTGTTGCCATCTACACACACACATATACACACACACACGCTCTCTCTCTTTTCGGTTTCTGTGTGTCCTAGCAGAGCAGCCTGACGGAAGGTGCCCTACCCCGGCCAAGTTGGGTTCGACCGTGCCACTGAAGGTGAGCGAGAACCAGACCACCCACGTGACGACGGCCACACACAGCACACATGGCACGAAATGCCTGCACACACACACACACAACAAGGAGAGAGAAAGGGGGAGTGCATACGCTCGTGTGGTGTGTAGGCGTCTGTGTGTGTGTGTGAGTGAACCTGGCGATTTTGTCGGCGGTTTGCTGCACGGGAGCCTTGGACGTCTGCGCCTGCTCCACCAGAGAGATGATCTGACCCAAGGTGGTGCTCGAACCGACCTATCACACACAAACAGAGAGGCCATGCACCCCGAACCACACACACCCTCTCCCTCTCTCTCTCTGTGTGTGTGTGTGTGTGTGTGTCAGTGAAGGTCGGTTACTTGTGTGGCTCTGAGTATGACGTGTCCAGCAAGGCATGTGCTGCCACCAAGCACCACGTCGCCCACGGCCTTCTCGACGGCCTTGCTCTCGCCAGTTATCAGACTCTCGTCAACAGACGTGTACCCAGCACTCTATAGCACACCCACACACGCACAGGGGCGGCGTCATTGTGTGTGTGTGTGTGTGTGTGTGGTAAAGCGGTCAATACCTGTTTGATGCCGTCGACGGGTATCTGTCCGCCCGGGAAGACCTTGAGCAGATCGCCCACCTGGATGAGCTCGAACGGGATCTCGCGCACACGGCCGTCGCTCGAGTCGCTGGCACAACCACACACCGAAATGTCGAGTATACCTGTGGGGGTGGCCCCCTCTCTCTCTCTCTCTCTCTGTGTGTGTGTGTGTGTGCGTGTGTGTGTGTGTGTGTACCCGTCTTTTCCCTCGACCAGTGTCGCTGTGTGTGGCTGCAGGGCCAGCAGGCTGGCGCACACACGCACACACCGAACACCCAGGCAGGCACATGTGTGTCTGTGAGGGTGAGTGTGTGTATGTGCGTGTGTATACCTGTCGATGGCCTCCATCGTGCGACGTTTCGCACGGCCCTCGAGCATCTGGGATGTCGTATGACACACACATGCGTGTGCGTCTTCGTGTCCAGCTGTGTGTGTGTGTGTGTGTCTCACCTTGCCCAGCATGACGACAGTGATGAGCACGGCAGACGTGTCGAAAAAGTGAGCCGGGTCGACCGCATGGGCTGAGATCAGACGCACACACACACACACACACACACAGAGAGAGAGAGAGAGAGGGAGAGATCAATGGCGGAAAGGGCAGGCGCCTCGTGTGGTGTTTAGGGTCCTGAGTGTGTGGCACATGGTTTGGGTTTGTGTGGCTCGACGAGGTGCTGGAAGAAGGAGATGATGAGCACCAGGGTGGAGTAGCCGAACGTCAGGTTGGTCGCCAATGAGATCAACACATCCATGTTGGGCGACCCGTGTATCATCGCCTGACACAACGAATGCCACACTCTCTCTGTGTGTCTGCTTGCCTCTCTCCCTCCCTCTCTCCCTCCCTCCCTCTCTCCCTCCCTCCCTCCCTCCCTCCCTCTGTGTGTGTGTCCGCGCGTCTGTGTCGCTCTCTCTCACTTTGTAAGCGCCAATATGGAAGCGTCTCCCAAAGACGAACTGAATGGGCGTGGCAAAGATGAACATGAGCACGGCGCACACCGACACCCCCGGCAGCATCTCTCTCCCCAGCCACCGGGGCATGGAGTGTCTGCTGTAGAGCATCGCCAGCACCAACACGACGCCGCCCGGCACCAGACAGGAGAGGAAGTCACGGCGGAGGGACCGCTCCTCGCCTAGCGCACCCGATTTGGCGTCCTCCTGACCACCATAAGACACACACGCAAGACACAGGCTCGACGTAAGCACGACAGCACACAGAGCCCCCCCCCCCCCC